CAGATGAAAATGGAAACAAGTTGTAGTTCAGAAGCACAAAGCAGGTAAACAACAGAACAGGGTCACCATCTCAGGAGTGCTGGGCTATAGAGGACCCACACTGTCCTTTTCCTTCTCTTCTAATTTAGGGGCAGGATGGGAGTGTCACAGACCTGGGAAGGGTCTCCTTTCCCAAAATGCCTCTTCCCAATGCCCACAGTGTCCCAAGAACTTGGCTTAGAGTCCTTGGTCTGTAGTTATTTTGTTGGTTTTCCATTTCATTATACTTTATTTTTAGTGTTCGTTTTTATTGTATATCTTTTTAATTGACACTAATTATACATGTTTATGGAGTACGGTGAAGATTTCAGTACATGGGTTTAGTGTGTAAGGATCAGATCATGGTAATTATCTGTCACCTCAGACATTTTTGTCTTAGTGTTGGGAACATACAAAATACTCTGCAAGCAATTTTTAATTGTTTTAAATGAATGGTTGTTAACCATGGTTACCCTCTTGTGCTGTAGTACATTCTACTCTATTCCTCCTGTCCACCTGCCCTCTGCCCGCCCCCCGACTTTGGTAGTAGCTAATCAATTAATGCCTTTCAGTTCTATTCATCTACAGTACTGATTTTTAATATTTTTGGTTATTTATTTTTGAGACAGAGTCTCACTGTGTTGCCCAAGCTGGCTTCCAACTCTTAGGCTTAAGCAATTGATCTGCCTCAGCTGTCTGTGTAGCTAGGGCTACAGGGTTATGTTACTCTGCCCAGTGTGTAACTTTTATTTTAATCACTTAGACCTGTGGCTTAGAGTCATTTGGTTCTAGAAAGCTTGTTACAAGATTTGAGGATACCTAGCCCCACCTCCAGAGTAACCACTTCCAGCTGTTTATTTGATAGGCTTTTTCTGCTTGCTTGTATTGCTTTTTATTCCCTCTCCATTTGTAGGCATAATCCATGGACTTGTTGATTTGGAAGATGAAGGTGGAAAGAACTCTCCACAAGGCTCACTCCTTACTCTGTGTACTGTTTCCTTCCAACAGAGTAGGATGGTGATGTGGGACTACCTCCTTACTTTGCTCACTTTTACTGCCACCACCCTGGTCTTGCTATTGTCTTGGACCTGGATGCTGGCAACTGGTCTGCTCCTCCTGTCCTTGTTCTCTTTGTATCTGCCTCATCCTCAGAGCAGCAGTCAGAGGCATCCCGTTCAGAGACCTGATAGGCCCAAGACTGCATGGTTCCACCTCACCCACTCCCCTGGTTGTTCTGCTCTCTCAACCTGTGCGCATGCTCCTTTTCTCTTTGTCTTCTTTCCATACTCAGCTTCTGGGCTGTCTCGGTTGTGGTGGCCCACTCCCCATTGCTATGACAGAGTCCCTTAGGCACATACTTTATCAGGAAAAGAGGCTGATGCAGCTCATAGTTTTGCATATCTAGGCAGGACACCAGCATCTGCCCTATCCTTATGCTGGTCTCCTTGGGTCCCTTGGCTACATTGTGACCTAGCAAGTGGTGTTAAGCCTGGAATGCTGGTGAGCCTGACAGAAGCTCTAGTGACACAGGGCCTGGAACTGAGGAAGGAGCTGTGCTCCTGCACAGCAAGCAAGCCTTTGTCTCGGGAACCTTTGTGGGGCCTTTACAAGGGCAGCGCCCCCAGTGACCCAGTCCCCTTCCCTACGGACCCAGCCCTTAAAGGCACAGCCACACAGGGCCAAGCTTTTGCCCCATGAGCTCATGGGACACTCAGACTGTGACCACAGTGAGCAGGGCCTTGGCACTTGCTCTCTGTCCCCAGATTGTATGTGCCAGGCCTCTGGGCTTCAGCACATTCTCTGTGGTCACCTGGCCAGGCCACTGCCACCTCCTTGCTGGGGCCATAACCCCAATACCCCACAGCTCTGCCCTGCTTTTTAAAAATTTTTAAATTTAATTTTTTTTTATTAGCACGTGTTCACAGTACATGATGATCACATTCCTCATGGGGAATTGGTGCATATACAGAATACATCTTGGTTCTTTTTGGTTTTCATTCCCTTGCACCTCCCTCCATCTCCTGGTCCCGTTCCCATTTGTGAAACTTCTATCTCCATATTTCCTGTGACATATCTTTTATTTTGCTCTTTATTCATGTTTCTCATATAAGAGAAAATATGCAATTTTTAAGCTTGTGTGTCTGATTTATTTCACTTAACATTATGGTCTCAAGGTGTGTTCATATTTCTACAAATGACTCAAGTATCTCCTTTTTGTTTTTGAGACAGGATTTCTATGTAGTTGAGTCTGACCTGGAACTCACTATGTAACCCAGGCTGGTCTTGAATTTACAGCAATACTCCTGCCTCAGCCTCCTGAGTGCTGGGATTATGGGCATGTACCTCCACGCCCGGCAAGTGTCTCCTTTTTTATGGTAGAGTAGTACTCCATTGTATAAATACTACATTCTCTTTATCCATTCATCTGTTGATGGATATCTAGGGCTCTTCCAAGATTTAGTCAGTGTGAATTGTGCTGCTGTAAACATGGGTATGCATGTAATCACTGTAGTATGATGACAGTTGTGGTGCTCCTGCTTTTCTTTCCTTCTTAGTACTCTCTGCCATAGTTCTTCTGTTGTTTTGTTTTGTTTTGTTTTGTTTTGTTTTTTACTGGATATCAAGCTCAGGACCTCACACTTGCCAGCCAGGTGCTGTGCCGCTAAGTTAAATCCCCGGCCCCCGCATATTACTCTTTATATTTATTAATATTTCGGATACATTAAAATTATTAATAGAATAAATTATTAATAATACATCACATATTAATGTATTTTAAATAACATGTTAAGGCATTATGAATATAGTAAAAGTTAGGTATGGTGATGCACACCTGTAATCCCAGCTACTTGAGAGGCTCAAGCAAGAGGATCACAAGTTTGAATCCAGCCTGAACAACTTAGTGAGGCATTGTCTCAAAATAAAAAATAATAGCCAGGCATGGTGGCTTATGCCTGTAATCTCAGCACTCAGTAGGTAGAGGCAGGAGGATCGCTGAGAGTTTGAGACCAGCCTGAGCTACATAATGAGTTCAGGGCCAACCTGAACTATAAAGTGAGACTCTGTCTCAAAAAACCAAAAGATAAAAAAATAAAGACTGGTGATGTAGTTCAATGCAGAACCCATGGGTTCAATCCCTAGTATAATACAATATATATAATAAATACACACATTGTGTGTGTGTGTGGTTTTTTTTGTTTGTTTGTTTTTGGGGGGTGGTTTGAGACAGGGTCTCATTATGTAGTTGAGACTGACCTGGAACTCACTATGTAGACAAGGCTGGTCTCGAACTCACAGCGATCCTCCTGCCTCAGCCTCCCGAGTGCTGGGATTACAGGCGTGCTCCACCACCCACGCCCAGCGTGTGTGTGTGTTTTTGAGAGACAGGGTCTCCCTTTGTAGTTCAGGAACTCACTGTGTAGTCCAGGCTGGCTTTGAACTGATGGGGTTACAGGTGTCCACCTCCATACCCCACTTTTCCTCTACTTTGGAAGGATTTCTTCTTTATCTTCCAGCCCTTGTGTTGTATTTTTCATATTTTTAATTTTCATATTTTAATTTTCTTTTGGAATGCCATCCCCTTTCCTAAAAAGATAGTGTTCTGGGCTTGGGTCATAGTGTAGTGGCAGAGCACATGCCTAATGTGTGCCAGGTTCAATCTTCAGCTCCATGAATAAAAAAGCCTTCTATTCTTGCCATCCGGTTTAATGGTTCTCTTCCGGTTTCACATTGTTCTGAGTGGTGGCCCCTGTGGTTTGTTCCTCTTGTCAGGTTGCTCTTGTCCTCTCGGCTGAGTTTCCCTCTGGACAGAGAGGAGCCTTTGCCTCCCATGCTCCTTGCGTGCTCCCTGTGTGTGTTGGGGACACCAGGAGCTCCCGAACCAGGACCTGCTTTTCCTGGAGCCTCTCACAGCTGAAGCATCAACAGGAAATCTCCAGAGAGGAGTTTATCTCCCTGTTGTGGCCAGCACTTTAACCCGCCATATGTGCCTAGATGGCAGTCACTTCCATAGCCCCACATTTAGGGACTGCCTAGGTAGTGATGGCGAACCTTTTCAAGACAGTGTGCACTGCAACCCAAAATCCACTTATTTATTGCAGAGTGCCATCCCTGCAGTTAAAGCCGGATATCTGATACTCAGGCCCTAGGCTGAACTGGCCTGCATGCTGACGGAAAGGGCTCTGTGTGCCCCTGTGGCACACATGCCATAGATTTGCCACCACTGGCTCTGGGCCTGTCTCCTCTAGGCCTGGAGAACTGCATAAGGAGAGGGCTGGTGAAGTGCTTGCCTGGCACATAAGGTACAGCCCCTAGCATGCTGGCACCACTGGAGGAGGATGAAGAGGAGGGTGGCTTGCAGCTCTCTGCGGACCACAGACTGCTGCAACTGCAAAGAGCCTGGCCTTCTGCCCAGGCCCACCCTGCACAGGGATGCTTTAAAGGAAGCTGGGCAGCTTTTTCCCACAGCTGTGTGAGCAGGAACTCAGCAGAGGGCACTAATGGGCATTGGTTAAACGAAGACATCAAGCCCCTTCTTCGGCCAGTCTGGGTCACCTGATGGATGGACGTGGCCTTGTACTTAAAGGCTCCCGAGGAGGGCTCTGTCATCATCCCAAGATGCCTGCTGGCCCAGTGCAGGCTCAGGGCTGTGGGGTCACTGGGAAACCCCCTGTTGTTGGGGCGCAGTGTCCTTTGAGGTCAGGGACCCAGATGTTCATGATCAGAGCACCCCTGGGGGCAGTTGTTAACTACAGTTGGGTGGGCACACTGGGGACTGGGCCAGGTCACAGTGTATCCTTTGCTCATCCCTTTTTCTTGGGGGACCTAAAGCTCTGAGACAGGGCTGCCCACCTTCCCTTTGCTTCTTTTTTCTCCAAGATCTGGCCTAGAAGGTGCGTCCTTGTATGCCACCTACTAGGCCAGTGGAGCTGGTGCTCTGTGTGGTGTGTCCTCTGGGTTCAGCAGAGGCCCTGTTTCTTTAGCTGCAGATCTGGGATACAGCTGGCCAAGAGCGGTTCCGTACCATCACCCAGAGCTACTACCGCAGCGCTAATGGGGCCATCCTTGCTTATGACATCACCAAGAGGAGCACCTTCCTGTCAGTGCCCCATTGGATTGAGGATGTGAGGAAGTACGCAGGCTCCAGCATTGTGCAGCTGTTGATTGGTGAGCAGGGGTCAGGTAGGGCTGGGAGGGGGCTTCAGGGACACAGTTACCATTGCCCTGTCTTGCCCCCCCCTTCCCTTTTCTTTCCTTTGCTATGCTTTTCTTGTGACAAGGTCTTGCTGTATAGTTTACACTGATCATGAACTCACTATATAGCCCAGGCTAGTCTCTAGCCTCAGTTTCCTGAGGGCTTGGTCTCCCTTCCAAGTGCAGGGCAAGCCTACAGCAGAGAGGGGTGCGCTTGCACAGCAGGAATGGAGCAGAGTTTGAATCCTGAGCCTACAGATTCTGATCCTTCTGTCTTTCACAGTGCTGGAGTCACAAAGTATGAGGATGCAAGAAAGGGAGGGAGCTGTCATTTACTCTGTAGCTCTGGCTGTGTTTATCTGTCCCTTGTAGCTGGTAACATGATACCACGGGCTGGTAAGACAGGGAGAAGATTTATTTGGCTCCCAGGTCTGGAGGGGTGAGGCCAAGGGGCTGTGTCTGTTGGTGGCCTCCTTGTGGGCAGTCCCCAGGTGGCACAGGTCTCACATAGCAGGAGATAGGGAGTGGGCATGTGTGCTGCTTCTTGTCTCTGCCTGTTATAAAACCATCAGGATCGGTCATGGGGGCTCCAGCCATGTCTAGTCCTGATCCCTCCTCAGTACCACAGTTCCATTATGTTTCTGCCCTCCCTTCTCCCAACAGAGATCAAGCTCTAGCCTGAGTTTCAGAGGGGACAGACTCATCTTCCCTGTAGTGCTAAGTGTCTGACCATGGCTAGCACGGTGGCATCTTCACAGTCACAGGATAATTGCCTCTCAGCCCTGGCTTCTCCTCCTGTGACAGGAGACTTGGAAAGTCCTTCAAGCCCAGGAGCTCAGATGAGGTTTGGGGTTGGCTTCACTGAGCACAGACCTGCCTGGACCGAACCGCCCTGGCAGGACCCAGCTTGCCTTCCTGGCCCAGCTGCTTCCTTTATCCAGGACATTTCTCAGAAACCTTCTATTACAGAGCACCTCATACAGGCACAGAGAGAGACCCATGTAACGAACCTCGGTCTCCCTCAACCTCCTTCAGCCACTCACACTTCAAGTACAACTCCCTGTTTCTCTGCCCTCATCCTTGCCTTTGTTTTGAGACTGAACTCATGTGCCAAACTATTTCATGTCTGTATGCTAACGTGAATCTATAAAAGACAGTACAGAAATACATGATAATACTGTTTTCACATCTAAAGATATTGACAGTTCTAGGTATAGTGGTATAGACCTGTAGTCCCAGCTACTCAGGAGGCTGAGGCAGGAGGATTACTTGCGCCCAGAGATTTTTGAGGCCAGCCTGGGTCAATCCTCTTGCCTCAGCCTCCTGAGTAATCAAGATTACAGCTGTGTGCCACCATGTCTGGCTAAAAATTTTAGGTCTTTATAGATTCTTTTTTTTTTTGTCCTTCCTATAACTATGTTAAAACAATAACTGCTTAGAGAAGAACCTAAATTCTAGAAAGAGATTGGGCAGTGGAAATACCTTAAAGGAGACCAGGGTATTCCTACAGGTAGAGTAGTAGCCTGAGCTGTTACTGTCAGAAAAGGAAAAATCCAGGGCCGGGGATTTAGCTCGGCAGTTCGGTGGCCTGCCTTGCAAGCACAAGGACCCAAGTTCAATCCCCGGTACCAAAAAAAAAAAAAAAAAAAAAAAAAAAAAAAAAAAAAAAGCAAAAATCCAAAACTAGTCTTAAAATAATTCCAAAGGACAATAGAAGAGAATAAATAATAAGTGTAATAAGTTTTAGCAAAAGCAGAAACAAGGGTCAGGAATTTAGCTCAGTGGTGCCATTGCCTCACAAGTGCAAGGTCCTGAGTTCAATTCCCTCTACCAAAAAAAAACCAAAAACCAATAAAAAAACCCCAGCAGAAACAAGTCAGCACCCTCAGATTTGTTAAGTAAATGGTTAAGCCCATGATAAGTGCACCCCCCATTCACTGTATCGTTTATAATCTGTGCTCTGCCCTCCTGTGCTGAAGGTGGCAGGATAGGTGTCAGGGAAACCGAGACCCAGAGACAGATGACCCAGCCCAGGGCCACACACAGGTGTGGGGATGGAGCTCCCTGGGGCATTTTCTAGCATGAGCTCCTTGTGCTTCTGACCCCCACTCCTTATTCTCAGGAGGAGGCAGAGGCTAGAACGGAGCTCAGCTGCAGAGTGCTCAGACACACGGGCCTTGGCTCCATCCCCAGCACTGCAAAATACAGCAGAGAATCAGCATGCCAGGGTTTTGCAAAGCTATGAGAGAAAAATAAATGAGAGAATAAAGAATGGAATAAATAAGGTTTGGTGGCACATCTTTGTCACCTCAGCAATCTGAGAGGCTGAGGCAGGAATATGTCCACGAGTTCAAGGCCAGTCTAGGATATATAGTGAGACCTTGTCTTAAAAACAGCAACAACAACAAAAAAAGGGCTGGAGATGTAGCTCAGTGCAGAGACCTTGGGTTTAATCCCCAGTACTGGAGAAAAAGAAAAAAGATAGCTACTGGGGAAGCTGAGGCAGGAAGATCATACATTTGAGGACAGCTTGGGGAATTCAGCAAGACCCTATCTTAAAATAAGAAAAGGGCTGGGGTGTAACTCACTGGGTAGAGCTCTGATTTAGCATATATAAGACCTTGGGTTCCATGCCAGGGGTAAAAGAAAATAAGAGCTGCAAACCTGGGGAAGTCTGTTGTGTGTGTGTGTGCGTGTGTGTGCATGCGTGTGTGTGTGTCTGTGAGAGAGAGACAGACAGACAGACAGACAAGGTCTCACTATATAATTCAGGCTGGCCTCAAACTCACTGTGTAGCCTATAGGCCAATCTCAAACTTCTGGCGATCCTCCTGCCTAAGCCTCCCAAGTGCTGGCTTACAGGCATGCCTCACAGGTCCCGCTAGAAAAGTGTTTTGCACAGACAGCTTGTGTGTTTCTCCGTAGCTGACAGAGGGAGGTTGTGGCATTGGGCCTCTCAGGGTGGCCCTGCTGGGCAGAGCTGGGATCATCCAACCCCTGTAGGTCTCATTGTGCTGCTCCCGGTCTCTCCGTGACAGGGAATAAGTCTGACCTGGCTGAGCTTCGGGAGGTCCAGTTGGCCGAGGCGCAGAGCCTGGCTGAGCACTACGACATCCTTTGCGCCATCGAAACATCTGCCAAGGACTCAAGCAATGTGGAGGAGGCCTTTGTTCGGGTCGCCACCGAGCTCATCATGCGGCATGGGGGCCCCATGTTCAGTGAGAAGAACACTGACCTCATCCAGCTGGACAGCAAGGACATTGGGGAGAGCTGGGGCTGTGGGTGCTGACGCTCCCTCCTTCCCTTGGGCTCTGTGCCAGAAGTGGATGCTGGGAAGGAGGAGCTGGACTCCCTGCAGTACCTGGTGGCTGGGGCTGGTGTTCTCCACATTCCAGGACTGGACTGCGCCTGCCAGCTGACCCCAGGGTGGGACAGGTCCCTTTCCTGTGCCACCTTCTGCTTTGCCTAGTGACCTTGACTTTGCAGCTGGTGCCCAGATTCTTCCAGGCCATTGGGGGCTCTGTCTGTAGTCTGATGAGCAGGAGTAGCTGAACAGTTCCTGAGCACCGTGACAGAGTCCCCTGGCCTGAGTTGGCTTCCTCCCTTGTGCCTGCCACAGCCCCAGACGCTTCCTGGGCCCAGCCTTCTGCCCTATCAAGACCTCAGTTTACTAGCTCTCCATGTGACTTCTCATTTTCATTACCAGAGGTGTGGGGGTTTTGGCCCATGGCAGCTGGAGATGGAGATGCGGCAGGAGAGGGACACTGAAGGTAGAAACAGTGGCTTTGAGGCAGCAGCCTGTGGTAGAGTGTATGCTCAGCGTCCAAGGCGGGTATGGATCCTAAGCAGCAAACCACGCACCCACCTGTGTCTGGATGAGGGCCTAGCGGTCCTGCAGGGCGCCCATTCCTGGGTGCACAGATCCTCTTGCCACCATGTCCATGATCACTCACTTCCCAGGGGCCTGGCAAGCCCACGGTTTCTCAACAACAAAGGCCTCACCTGGTAGCCATGACCTGGTCTCCTTCATCCACTGGGCCATAATGGCCTCAGTCTGTGTGGGGTGCTGAGGTTAGACAGCAGGCAGGAACCCCTAAAAAGCACCATCTGGGCATGGGAGCACAGGATCCTCGCCCACCTTGGCCCTGGCAGAGTTGCTGCTCTCTGAGTCAACAGGCGCTCAGTGTTGATGTGGTGGCGGCTTTTTCCTGCCCAGGTTGTCTTGCCTTGTTCCAAACACTGCCTGCAGCAGCCCCTTCCCAGGGGCTGGAGCATGACCCGCTTCCTTGCTGAGACCTGGGTGCATAGCTGAACACGGCACCCATGGGAGACGGGGGCCATGTCAGGGAGGAGCTGCATTCCTCTGGTAGGAGGAGTGCAAGTGTAGGGAGCAGCCGCTGGGCCTCACCCTCGGTGTGATGCTGGGGTTGGGGTGGGCCTGGGCCTTCTGCTAGTTCTGATTGGCCTGTGCTGTTGACAGGAAGTGCCACTGCTACCTTTTCTCCCCTGCTGCTCCTGGGCCCCACGACCTCTGGGTTCACCACCAGGAAGGGTAGAGCCCAGCTTTTACCTGGGCACAAAGAGGTCACTTGGAGGGTGACCCTGCAGCGCTCTGCTCTTCTTGGGTGACAGGGAGCACACACGGGCTCAGGTGTGACATCAGGGCGCAGGGGCATGCTGTACTGCTCCCGCTGTCCTCTGCCTTGGGGTGGATCCTGCAGCCTTCATCTTTGCTCTGGCACACCCTGGGCTGCCTAGATCCGGGGAAGGCACAGGACAGCGCTCACTTGTCACTGTAGGCTGTGAGCCGTCACCCTTCCCACCACTGCCCACTGTTGGCTGCCTGATGGCCCCTTGAGCCAGGATGGCATCCTGCTTCTGTCCTTCCACAACCCAACATGTCAGTGTGTGAGGGGAACCCAGCCCCGCCCCGTGGACAGGAGTGGCCTTGTATCGAGTTCAGCCTAGGAACCCAGATTGCCTGGACGCCCCCATGCTTTCTCCTTGCCACGCCCTATCCTCATCCACTCCCCACCCATCCCACTGCCCCCTGTCCCTGCCTGTCCTCTCCTGCCCCAGTACTCCTGTCCCTGCCCTCTCACCTGAGGGCCCAGCTGCCCTTGGGCTCCAGTTCCACTGCCCAGACCCCATTCCTGCTCTATGGCAAGTCTGAAATGGTCACCTGGTCCAGGGCTCTGAGGGATCTCAGGGTCCACACGCAAGCCTCTTTAGCAGCTGTCCCTGCCCAGCACAATTCCTGTCCCTTCCTGTGCTGTCTCTGCCGACCTGGCCTCCCTGTCCCAACCCTGCTCTCCCCATCTCCATCCCCCCTTTCATTCCTGTCGCTCAGAATCCTGCCAGTGGCCCAGCTGGCTCACCCAGTCTCCTGGGAGAACAAGTCCTTCCCTGCCCTGTGGCCACCAGGTCCCACAGCCAAGTTGAAACCACTTCCTACAGAGCAGCCAGCCTCAGTGGCGGTGTTGGGGCCTCGGGCCCTGCGTTGGACACCTACCCTATAGCGTCCCATCAGGCAGGATCCACTGCCCCCTGGGCGGCTTGGGTAAGGAAGCAAGTATGTGGGACAGAAAACAAAACCAGCCTGTATCTCCTGCCGGCCACAGCTCCCGGCAGCTGGGTCTCGGGCCAGAGGGGACCAGTTTCTTCTCTTGTTTCCTAATCACCCATCAGAGGAGCAGCTGGGCAGGGCCTCTGTCCTTCCCAGGGGGGTTGGCCCCAAGGTGACGGTCCTAACCTTGGGGAGCCGAGGAAGCCTTGGTTCACACTGAATTCAGCTCCTCTCTCCTGGGAATGTTAGCCAGGCACTCTCAGACCCAAAGGCATGGACTTGGGGGATGGGGTGGGGACCTCAGCCAGCCCAATGGTGCCATATGTGTTGGGACTTTTTCTTGTTACGTATTTATGAATATATACATCTTTATAGCAAATCTATTTTTTAAAACATGGATAATTGCCTTTATGGAAACTTTCAGAGCCAGAGTGTAAAAGGCCTCCCCCATTAAACAGATTTTTGTCACGAGCCAGCGTGTCTAAGACTGGTTCTGTTGCCCACCAGACGGTCCCCTTGTGCTGCCCGTCAGTCCTGGAGCTGGGAGAAACCTTCCTCAGCCAGACCCTATGGCCCATTGGGCAAGAATCGCTCAGGTTTACCTCGGCGCCTGCATCACGTGCCAGGACTAGACCTTCGAGTTCACAGAGTCCTCTTGGTCTGCTCCCTGCTACCGAGCAGGTCTTCTGCAGAGAGGTGCTTTTGGGCAACACAGCCCCTACCCTGTCCTCCCCTGGAAGGAAGGGGGCAGCAGGGACCACACCTGCCCACCAAGCCCAGCTCAGAGAGGCACCGGAAAGGGCCCCACCAGCCCCCATCAAGTCTCACACCTGCCCTGAGGACTGTGACCCTGAGCAGTCATTTCTCCTCTCGGGCCCCAGTTTCCTTAAAGACAAGGTCCTAACTCTGGTCCTGCCTGGGTCCCAGGAAGCCCTGATGAGACCAGAGAGGGGAGGACTTAGTGCCCTGTGGGCTTCTAGGATGGGCTCGCTTCAGGTGCATGGGCCCTCTGCCCTGGGAGGAGGAATGCTGGCATTTCCTGCTGTGCTCTAAATGTGAGGAAGAGGTTAGAGCTTCCTAGAGCAAGTCACCCATCCAGTGGGTCTCCTTCCTTGCTCAGAGCCTTCCCTGGTGCCCATAGCTACCAGTTTATAAAAGAAGTGATCAGAGCCTGGGCACGGTGGTGCATGCCTGTGTTCACAGCATTCGGGAGGCTGAGGCAGGAGGATTACTCCAAGTTCAAACTAGCCTGGCTACATAGCCCGTGGCCAGCCTGGACTACATAGCAAGACCCTGTCTCAAAAACAAAAAATTGCATCACACACAGAGCCCAGATATACACCACCAGTGTAGGAGATACCTGGACGAAGGCTGCTCAACGTCATGTCTAGGATTTGCAAACTGCCCTGCCAATGGCGGCTGAAGCTGCCCAAGACAATGAAGCTAATCCTGCAGGGGGAGTCCCTACATGCTCACACTGTTCCCAGCTTGTGACATGAACTTCTAGGGGCCAGTGCTTCACCTGTCCCATCCAGTCAGCGGCAGAGCTGAGGTGTAGTCCCTGGGTGCAGGCTTCAGCGGGTGCCTCACTCGTGAGCTCTGTGAGGGGCCCCTGGGATTCACAGGGCGACCTTGGCTGCAGGGAGAGCAACCTGTCCTCAGGTCTGCTTGCCACCATGGACACGAGTGCCTGAGTCAGAATTTCTGAAACTCGCATCTTGCTGGGGCTCTGTCCACAGGAAGGGGTCTTAAAACCCTGTGTGCAGATCTGTGGTGTATCTCAGGGTAGAGCGGCTGCAAAAGAAAAACTAAAATCTGGAGGTGAGAATGTTCACAGCGGCGAAGGAAGGCTTTCAACCCTAACAGGTGTTTCAGGCAGAAACTTCCTTCCCTTCTTCCTCTTTACCTCTTCCTCCTCCCTGGGCAAGACTGTATGTATCACTGTGGTTTTGTTGGGGTACTGGGGGTTGCCCCCAGGTCCTTGGCACTGAGCTACATCCCTAGCCCTTTCCTTATTTAATTAATTAATTTATTTTTTGTTTTTTTTTGAGACAGGTCTCACTATGTAATTGAGACTGACCTGGAACTCACTATGCAGCCAGGCTGGTCTTGAACTCACAGCGATCCTCCTGCCTCAGCCCCCCGAGTGCTGGGATTACAGGCGTGTGGCGTGTGAATGCAGCCAGGCTGGTCTTGAACTCACAGCGATCCTCCTGCCTCAGCCCCCCGAGTGCTGGGATTACAGGCGTGTGCCACCACGCCTGGCTCCTTATTTTTATTTTGAAGACAAGATCTCACTGTCACTAAGTTGCCCAGGCTTGACTGGAATTTGCAATCCTCCTGCCTCAGCTGGGATTACAGGAGTGTACCATCACACCCTGTTCCTGCTGCTTTTGTTTAGGGGGTGTATTTTAAGGAGTAATGAAAGAGATGGCCACCCTCCTTTGGTCCCCTCAAAGTGTTGTTGAACTGGCCTCTGGAACCGCACTTTGAGATCTGCTGGCCTGGACGCCTGGTGGAGAGGGCAGAGTTCCGTGCAGGTGGCAGCGAGCTCTCTCGGTGTTCCCATGCTCTGGGTGCAGTCTCTTCAGTTTACAAGTGCACCCTTGACCTGTGGACAGTGACTGCAGACACGTGCCTGGGAGCTGGACCTCTTCCCCCGACAGCTCAGAGCAGGCAGAAAGGAATGAGCCCTGGTCCTGCAGGGCGCAAGGGTAGGGAGGGAGTTGCAGCTGGGGGGCTGGGCGGGGGTGGCCGAACTTCCCGGAGAAGGGGTAAACTGGAGGGTGTGAGCTGACCAGGAGGGTGGCGAAGGGGTGGAGGGAGGCCCAGGACTTGCCGCAGTCACTGAGAGTCCCCCAGGAGTTTGTCATTCCTCACCCCACCTGGCCCTGCCTCTGGCCAGCAGCTCCTCCAGTTTGGGGCCCCCCTTTTGCAGGGGCTCTCACTGGGTCCCTGTGCTCCCCTCACCTGGTCTCAGCAGGAGTTCAGCTGCAAGTTGCAGCTGGGGCTTAGAGAAAGGAGTGACCCATGGGAGGCCGTCATGAGAGGTGTGCGAGTTCTCTGGCCCCTGTCACAGCCCTGTCCCCAATGATTCTGAAGGGGCAGAAATGTTCATGGTGGGGACAGGATGCCAAGTTGAGTGCTGTCTTCTGGCCACCCAGGACAGGGCCACCAAGCTCAAGCAGAACGTGTACAGAATTCTTTGTTTAACGAGCAAGTTCGGTTCACGTGGCCAGGTCGTTGAATGAATTGGTCACTAAATAAGGAATTGTATGTAGTATGCACTTTACAATATTCAGAACAAAGAAATGGTCAAAGGAAACTCCAGCCAGATGATTCTGTTTTCATTTGTATAACTTTTCCGTGTGGCACTGTAATGAATGTCAGAACATAAACCACCTCACAAGCTCAAGGATCCCCAGTACCAAAAGAAGCAAAGCAAACAAACAAAAAACCCAGAACATAAAACTACAGTACTATGCTGTACTGTGCAGTACAATCAGCAAGAATTACAGTACTCTTATGTAGAAGAAGCCACCATAAGGCCACACTGCTGCTCACGTTCCTGTGTTGCAAGTCCAGATGTGGGTCATGAGCCTGAGCAGGACCTTGGTCACCTGGGCCGGATGCCAGGGGCCGGCTTGTGGCACCGGCCTCTGGTGTGAGCCGGGTTGCTGGGCCCTGGTGATGAAGCAGGTGGCTGATGTTCATGTCAGCTTGAACGGCGTGGTGGCCGTGCTGTCACTGGCACCTTCTGAACTGGATTCTGGGTCCATGATCTTGAGGTGAACACTGCTCAGCCCCACCCAGGAAACAGGCTCACAGTTTTTTGAGACAGGGTCTCACTATGTAGTTGAGACTGCCCTGGAACTCACTATGTAGCCCAGGCTGGTCTGGAACTCACAGCGATCCTCCTGCCTCAGCCTCCTGAGTGCTGGGATTACAGGCGTGCGCCACCACACCTGGCTATTTGCTAAAAATTTTAACTAGTTTCACTAGTGAAATAATTTAAGAAAAATAATGTATCTTAAAGATGGAAACTGCTAATATCACAGTTAAAATGAAGGTCAAATTAGGGAACTGGAAGATAAAGCAGAACTTGATGCAAAAGAACAAGAAGTGTAAATTAAAACGAAATTATAAAGGCTCCTAACTTCCAGTATCTATGTAAGAGGCTCATTCCAGGAAGGATGCGGTGGGGGGAGAATAAATTAACTAAATAAATGAAGGTTCCCTCCTGGACCCCCTGAGCTTTATACCTAGAACTAAGAGTAAGTTCTAAGGTGGCTGTGGTGGTGCACTTGTGTAATCCCAGCACTCTGGGAGGCTGAGGCAGGAGGACTGCAAGTTTCATCTGAGTCTGGAGAATTTAGTAATTTAGCAAAACCCTGTCTCGGCGCATAAAGAAAGAAAGAAAAGGAAGGTAGGGCTGGGCATATAGGTCAGTGTGAAGGCTGGAGGTTTAATCCTCAATGTTGTGAAAACAAAACAAAACAAAAAACAAAGAAAGTCTAATATATTCTAGAAGGCCACAGATTAAAAGGGAATGTAGGGAAAGTTGAGCAACAGTCAGGGAAAATTAAAGGGCCTCCGTGAGTTTCCTGGCAAATAAAGAACTAAACTCCTGCAGGGGGGGGGGAGAGCGAGAGAGAGAGAGAGAGAGAGAGAGAGAAAGAGTAGCTAAGAAAAAGAGCTGATGAGGCCCTGGGCTCACTTCGTACCAAGGCTCGATTCCATCCTCCTCCACTTCCAATTAAACACAACATAAAGGGGAGGGAACTGCATTATAAAAACTCACAGCGTATAAAATGTACACTAGCACCTAACAGTCACCCCCACATATATAAGAACATAGATATTTTATTATTCTGGCCATGTTAATACACTGAAATGCACGCGCATCCTGTTTTTACTGACTCAGCCTTGAATGTAACCGCTGTACATCTCACAGGATCAGCACCCGGAGAGCGCGCTGAGGCCACAGAAGCGCTCATTCCAATAGTGTACGCGTAGGTGGTGGAAGGGGCAGTGGCCAAATCAGGCCCAAAACAGCCAGTCAAGCCTCGCAACTCTCAAGAGGGAGAGTCCCTTGCCACCTAATAAGAGAGGCCTAGAGCAAAGACCCCCGATTTCTGGCTCTGGACTCCCTACCAACAGGGTAGCTATTTACCTACTTAGTTTCTCTCCTTTTTCCAATAACATGATTTTGCTTCCCCATTTTTCTACCCTTTCCAATAAAGTGATTTTGTTTCTCCTCCCAAACTTAGACAGTGGACCCTCAAGTTATGACCAGCCTGACATACAAACAACTTGAGTTATGACAGGAATGTTAGTTTTAACTTATGAACAAAGTCTTAAGCTACCACTGGAATACCAGCTGCCTGTGCTTCCTGGTGGTCTCAGATACAGATTTAACCCTAGAAGAGTCCTGAAAGGAACATCACAGCGTCCTTTCCTGTGTGGGGTTC